AAGGAAAAGAGAAGGAAAAAGACATTTTTGCGTAAAATTTAGTATTAACATTTTTTTTTTAAATTTAAAACCTTTTAATCTTATGATATTTGATTCTTGCGATTTCAAAAATAAAATATTTGACTAAAATATGAATAACATTTTAAGAAACCAAATGTAGGATAAAATTGTGTAAAGCAATGGGCACAATGATAAAACTGTTTAAAGCAGTGTATGCAAGTCATCCTAAGTTAAAATGTCGGTTATACATCTCTCTTATTTACAGATGCCTTTTCTGAACGGAACATTGAAAGGCGTGTTAACTATGCTTTACTGTACTTTCTCTTTTAATATATGCAGTTTTCAAACGCATCGTAGTTTGGGTTACAAAGTATTCTTCCGAAAGAAACTCAATTAAAATAAATAAAATCAAATTCTGGATAATTTGTATTAATAAATATATTTAAAATGCTCAGTTCGAAGGAATAAATAGAAAATTTTAAAACAATTATCTGAAGAGACAATGCAACACAAACAATTAAAATAAAAGTATAAAAATTTAAAAATTTCCTAAAATAATAACTATGACAAAAATATATATAAAGAAAACTATTTGAAAAAGAATAAACGCTTTATTCACGTAGTTCGAATAGGTAAATAGAAATTTTTAAAACAGTTACTCAAAAGAAAACATGCAACTTAAACAATTAAAATGAAATTCGAGAAAGAAAAAATTACTTAAAATAATAACAGTTGTAATTAAAAATATATATAAAGAATATTATTTGGAAAAAAGGAACGATGGTGACTTTTTCCCCTCTTATGGAAAAGGAAACTAGGTTGCCATATATTAAGAAGTTCGCCAAGTGAACTATTCTTTGCGCAAACAGAAAAAAAAGTGCCAACATAAATTTGTGAATTTCTCCGTAAATTTCGCTCCAAATTTTTCAAAATTTCATATTTAGGCATAATTTGAGTTGTAGAATCGAAATATGTAAAAAATTTGGTATGTTATTTCAGAAAAAGCCCAATTTTGTGTCAAAATACCTATGTTAGAATAGTGCTATATATAAATCTAATATATATCCTAAGTAGCGCTTTCGAGACATGAAGAACGCGATTTGAATTTTGTCAATCGACCCAGTAGAACGGGAGATATAGAACTGCCCCCCCCTTTTTTTTTTTTTTAGCAGTGTACATGACAATTAGCATGAATAACTAAAATGATAGTGCTACGTATATTAAGTGAGCAGTTGTGACTGTTTTTTTTAACCAGGGGCAAAGTCCTGTCTAGAGGAGAATTTCATAGTTTCTGGAGGGGATGTAGTGCATGTTAAGTGTTTTAGTTTTATGAATATAAAAAACTACTTTTATTCACGTTTAGGTATTTGTAAACAATTTCTTTTTTTGTTTAATTGATAGAACACATAAAAAATAATCTAAATTTAAAAGTATATGTTTTTCCTCCCAAGTTTTAGAAAGGAGGAGGGATGATTGTAATCTAGCAGGAGGGTGCATGCCCCCCCCCAAAAAAGTTAACCACTGAATTATTACTTAATCTAACTCTCTTATGTGGCATGAAAATTTTTGGGGATAAAATTTTTAATTAATTTTAAAAATATTGTTTAATTTGATAACATTAGCATTTTTTCAGTAAATCTGAAGTTTGTTCACTTCAAACAACAGTTTAGTTTTAGAGATTAATGTATTTTATTAATAGGATTTAGTGACCATAGTACAGTCAAAAGTGGTTAATCCGGACTCGTCGGGACTTCGGCGATTCCTGATTATCGATTTTTCCAGATTGTAGATCATCAGTTTAAATCTGGTAAGATGGCATGCAGAAATTATAAAATTAAAAATATGAAACCATAATTTATGAAATAAAGAGCAATTATGATCTAAAGTTCTGCTGTTCAAGTCGTGTAATTGCTGTGTCGAGAATACCGACTAATTTGTCAATCGAAATGTTTTTGTTTTCAATAACTGCTGAGTCACTTTCTTCACTATCGGAAGCGAATTATAATGACGAGGAACTTGATTTAAATCATATCAAAGACCGAGTACATCAAGATGAAATACTACATTTAGTAAAAAATTTATAAGCCAAATAAAATAAAAACATCTGCCCTGAAGATAAGGATAGTGCTGACAGATCAACTTCCAATTCATTGCACATCGTGTTGTTTCCCTCCCGCCGCAGAGCAGCGTGAAATTGATAAACATATTTCGGAATGATTAGATAATCAAAGGATATGCCTTTATCCATTTTTTGCAGGAATTCCACTTTCTGTTTAATGGACTTCGGAACATGCTTTCGCTTTGTAGATCCTTTACATATTAGTAAATATATATCGGAAATTCTATTTGACATAATCGGAAGTTCAAGCTTAGTTTTATAAAATTGCTCTAACAGTCTGCAGAAAGTACTAAGCCGGATCCAATTCGAAGATTAAGGAACAACGCGATCTGCAACATTAACTGAAATAGATAATTAGATAATTTTAGCTTATACCGTCTCTTATACATTAAATGCGGATGCGTAAACGTATTATGCGCATGCGCACATGTATATTCGCAGCCGTAAAGGTCTTACGCGCATGTGTAAATGCCTATGCGCATGCATGAACACGACACATGCACAGAAAGTTTTTAGCTTTGAGGTCCGGATTATGGGTGTCCGAATTAATGACTTTTGACTGTATTAGATTTCAGTAAATGGTAAAATTTATTTCACTGAAAATGAGGGCATGTGCATTAAGGGAGACACGGTATTGCTTGAGGAGAAAACTGTTTTCTGTTATGGTTTTTTACCTAATTTCAAACTTTAAATTATACTGAAAATTAAGAAAATAGCTGGAAAATGGCTTGAACTAGTTTTCAGTAGTATTGAACACACTGAGAATATTTTATGTTATGCTGATCTTAATGAGAAGCAACGCTTCAGAGTTATTAAAAATTGTAAAGTGATTTTCAGCATTACATTTGTTAAGTCAGAGGTGGACATACTACAGCCCATCTAAAGACTATCCAGCCCACTGCAAATTTAAGAACCATGTTATATTTATGTAATATATTTACAATATATATTAAGCATTACTATATTACTATACAATTAATCAAGGTACGCATATCAAAATTGAAACAGAAACATGAATGTAACATTTAGCACATTAAATATGAATGATTTTAAATGAAAACAATTCAATAAAATTAAAAACTGGTACAAAATATGAAAAAGGTTTTTAAAATTTTTGAAAATTTCTTGGCCTTTTTTCAACTTTAAGGATTTTTACCTGAGCCATTTTTTGAATTAAACCTGAATGATTGATAAAACTGGAAATATTTAAAAAATTGAAATAATTAAAGTGTGTGAATCTTCGGATTATGGTAACTCGGCGATTTTTCGGCGAAACTTAGGCGACAAACCCTTCTTCAGCAACCTGCTAGTTTTTTTGGGGGGGGGCGCATTTAGATTTACAAAGTAAAAGGCATGTTTGTGTCTTACTCCATTTCTTCTCTGCTTATTATTCTAGTGGACAAAAAGTGCATATCAGGACGAAGATTAGGTGCAAAAATGTTTCTAAGTGCTATTAGCTAAAATCACAATCGGACGTTTCTGGAAAGTAGTGGAACAAACGTGCACAGAAATTGTTTTTACAGGGCAAATTATATATGAAACATGTAAATAATTTTTCTCATAAATAGAAAATTTGCACGAAAATGCATTTAAATTTTGTGAATCTCTGAAGTCGAAAAAAGGACATGTATGAAATTACCTGATCGCTAAAAAGTATGTATACTATGCAAGCATTTATATCTTCAGCTTGCAATACCCTTTCAGGATGAACATTGCACGTAAAAAATATGCAAGAAATTACATTAATTTCTTTTCCCTCTAATTTCTATTAAAAAGTCGCACAAAATAAATAATCTGACTGGAACTGTGTACTTCTCAGATTTGCTAAAGTCCTAGCAGTAACTTTATCGTCTTACCAAAATGTCGCCAAACTACCTGTTACCACATTCCAAAAATTAGCCATTAAAGTGTTTTAAGAATGCAAAAAAGTAAATTTAATCAGTCATTAAGATATAACGTTCTCTGACATGACCCCAAAGTGAAAATAATAAAAATTTTAAAAGGAAAATTTTAAATTCTTAGTAAGAAAGTATAAAAACCATTTGGCAAATCAAAAGCCAACTGCTAGTATTATCACTTAAAATTTTCAAGTAAGAAACCCGAGTGTATTGGGCAAATCAAAAGCAGCCTTGCTTTGGATAAAAAATAAAAAGAATTATGATGGGTAAATCAAGAACATTGTACTAAAGAAACATACTAAATATATATTTTAATTAAATTTTGAACCAAAGTAAAAGCAGACCTGTTAAAAAACTTTACAAATCAAGTGACTGTGCACCTCCCCCCCCCCAAAGTCAAAATTATGAGGAAAGAAATTTATTCAGAAAAAAATAAATTAAGCATAAATTTTAAATAATAATTAATGCAAAAAAATTTCAAAACTGAAAGGGAGTTCACATAATTGGCACATGATTTCATGTAGAAAAGGTCTGGTGTCATATTTCATTGAAATTTAGCATGTGCATTTTAAGCTCCATCCAGTGCTTTTTCTGTTGTGGCATTAGCACAAATGATTATAACAAGAACAGCATGTTTTTAGACTTTGCTTATATATATATATATAAATTTAACATTCTCTTAAAAACAAATTAAAATAATTAAATTTTAAACAATGAAATTTATATATATATATATATTTGTTTTTTGGCCTGCTTGCCTTAGAAATTTGCCCACCACTGAGTTAAATGATTAAAGTACTTTAAAATTCATTGTTAGAGGATTCTAAATATCTTTCAGTATTTTAATGTAAATAAAAAGGTATTTAAAAAAATATTCGGGAAGTGTTTATTAAAATTTCCATTCTTTTGTTTTCAGATGTTTATTAGTACATGTACGAGAAGAGAGGTGTTCAGTAAACTAACAGTTTTTTAAATTTTTATATTTAGGCTTTGTCCCAGTTATCCACCTTACATTATTGTTCCTACATCAGTGCACGATGAGCATGTGAAAGATCTAGCCACTTTTCGTTACTCACGAAGAATTCCAGCTGTTGTTTGGAGGTAGGTTAATTATCTTTTTACAAGTAACCAAACCTTTAAGGATTAAGTTTTTAAAAAGAAATGTGTCGTGAATATACGTCTTATATTGTAAATGTGAGAGCTGCAGAACTTCTGTTATGTAGGTGAGTATGTATTAATTTGGTGACATATATGATTACTTAGTGTTATTTCACTCGAGAAATATTTTTAAATATGTTTCAAGAGATTGTTTTACAGATGAAAAGGTAAAAGTTACTTACCAAGTGCAAGTTGGTGGTTTATGTGACTTTTTAAAGAAGATTCCCTGACTATCAGTATTCATTGTAAGCGGGCAAACATTCTAAAAAAGCATACTTCAATTTTAAATATAAATTTTAATTATTAAATAAGGATTATGTGATACATTAAAAAATACACATTTGTCTTAAAAATCTTAATCTGTAATTTGTTTACGCTATTCTTCCTGAGTATGCAGTGATCTGTTTTCGCTTGACAAAAATCAGAGAATTGTGGATATTCAGAATCTGGCTAACCTCGGCAACACTGGCTTTCAACCAAATACGTCTCTTCGTTGTTCCCTTTAGAGATTTTGCAGCAAAATTATGTATTCCTTCAGAAATTTTAAAATATCCCACAAGTGCATATTTTAAAATTACTTTAAAGGCGAAAAATATTATTTTATAAAAAAAAGTTGGAATAGAAAATACAACAGTAGAATGAATGCATACAAAAACGGCAATGTTGCTGGACTTGGTTGCTTTAGCAGGTGGTTGCCAGAGTTTGGCACGTTCTGAAAATTTGGTGGCTTCTAATAAGATAGTTTTAATAAAATTAAGTACTGAATTTTTTTTTTTTTTTTACTTTCAGAAAGGAAAGAAAAAGGGTATTATATATATATATATATATATATATATATATATATATATTTCCAATACCATACAGAATTGAGGGTGTGTTCATTACCATTATATTAACTGTACCTGTGTCTTAAAAGCAGATTGTTAACCAATCATTAATTGTAAATAATTGTTAAGTAATCTGTTAAAAAATTTGAAAGGTTTCAGATCTTAATGGTCACCCAAAAGGTCTGTTTTAAAGTATAATAGCTTTTATCAATAGCAGTGGTCCAGTTGGGAATAGCAAAACATTTGATAGGATACTAGAGGAATAGACATTTAAACTAATATGGGAATGATATGTAACTTCTGTATATTTGGGGGGGGGGGGGGGGAAACATGGAATGTTTTTTATTAGTCATCATTAACGAAATGCATTTTTATTTCAATTGATCAAATAAAAGATATTCTAAGAACTGCATCTACTGCTTTTAAGTAGCTTTGTAAATCCATAATACACAGATTAAATAAAAATATTAATATCTTAAGTCGTATTGTATTGATTTAAATGTAAGGGTAAAGTGTTTCAATGAATTTTTGTTTTTACACAAAGCGATGCTATTTAGTCACATTTCTTGATACACATTCATGTACTATTTTTAGGGTTGAAAGTGTGCAGTCTTTTGTAGTGAAATTAACATTTTCACAATGGTGGTCTTCAGTACATCAAGTGTATGGATACAACTTTGCACCAGACACAAAAATCTACTTTTTTGCCTCCTGTTTTTTCTTTATTCATTTTCTGTGTTATTTTTCAATGTTTTACAAAAGATAGTTGCATTTTCTATGAGTACATAAAAGTTATAGTGTAGAAGTCATAACTCAGATTTAAACTAAACATGTGCCAAATGTTTGAATACCAGTGTAACGACTAATGATTTTCAAAGCTGCAGATTCATAGCTTTAATATGGAAGTCGTCATAAACAAGATTGTCTTACATGCAAGCTGATCTTTTCTCTCTCTTTAGTCTTCATAAACACTGCTTGTTTTATCTTTGAGATTTTCATGTACTCAGTCAGATGCATTGCATGAATTTAATCAAAAATAGCAACCAAGTTCAGCTTTCATAATACATAATTTTAAGAAAAAAATTACATGTACAGATTTTTGTACCATTTGGCAACGTTTGGGTACTGTCCCTGTGTTACTGTAGTTGATCCCTATATGTAACCATAACAGTATCCAGCCCTTTTATATAACTTTAACCATATATGCCTTCAGTAGTTTCGAGAAATGGAAGGTACTGTTCTGTTGTGCTGATATGAGCTCTATGAGTACTTTTCATCAAAAATTCCAGAACAGTAAAGTGTTTCTTTTGGAAAAATAAATTTTATCAATTGATTATGTGGAAGGGCTGATGGTCTTAAACATGTGCATATACAAAAACACAAGGAGACTGTAAATTGTATTTTGTGGGAAGAAATTAATTTTTTTTTTGTGGAAACAAAGGACCAAAAAGTTGATGCTGAATGTCTACTGAAGCACAACCTGCTATTGAATGCATCGGATCATGCTATAGGTTTATTTAGAAAAATGTTATCTGATAGTGAAATCGTTAAAAATACTCAAGTGCAAGGACAAAAACAGCAGATATTATTAAAGAAATATGTATAAAAATAAATCTTCAGTTATTGATTGCATGAAACCAGTTGTATTTTTGCTTTCTCTGGATGTAAGCAATAATACTAACACAAAATTGTATCCAAATTATTATTTCGTTTTTTAATCCAGAGTCTTAAGGAATTGAGTGTAGTTTATTTTCTCTCCCCACTTTGACAGATTTAACAGAGTTTAACCCCTTAAAGCAAGAGTTTTTTTTTTTTTTTTTTTTTTTTTTAAACTGGTAAAAGAATGATCAAGTTTTTTTTTGGGGGGGGTAGGAGATAGAGCAGGAAATGAATATATAGGTATAGTGTAAGTTATTTTTTCATCTGTACAAATTTGATAGCAAATTCTTGCTGCAGCCAAAATCTCGTCATCATTATCCTTCAGATTCACTTTCATCGCTGAAACTTTCTGATAAATGGGCATATTCAGAATCTTCAAAGTCGCTCATCATCAGATAACTTTTTCTAAACAATTTACAAAAACACTTAGTAAAAATTAAATTCTGGTTAACTATTTACTTTTATGATAATTAGCACAATAAAAGTGGATATGTTACCTTTTCTACACCAAGCAACTTCTTTATAACAAACTTATAGCTAATCATCAAAATATAGGGTTTACAGAAAAAGAAACAAAATTCTGCATACTTGATGCCCTCTATAGTAAATAAGTTTAATTATAATCTAGCCTATCTATTTTTACTAGAACGGATCTCAGGCAGGCATTAGAAGTAACTCAAGATACAAGATCACCTGTGTGAGACACAGGCATGTGCAAGTTTTCTGGTAACTTTTGCCCGTGTCAGGCACAACCAAATCTGTTAAGAGGTTAATATAGCACAGCTAATTATTCAAACTTTAAAAGAAAATGTGATTCCTCTTGATAATTGTTTAGCATATAGTGCCAACCATCCACCAGTTATAGTAGGCTTGAAGACCAGTGTTGCAGGCTCTTAAAGAAAATTCAGATTTGGAAATTATGAGTTGCTCTTGTCATCTCTTAATAGCTGAAAAGGGGGTAGCTTCTTTACCAATAAGTGTGGATGAGCACATTCTTGATGTTTATTATTCTCTTGAAAACTGAAAGGAAGAAAAGATTGAAAGAATTTTTGGTATAGCTGCATAATATTGAACTAAGAAAAATGTTGAAATATGCATGTACACTGCTCAAAAAAAAAAAAAAAAAAAAAAAAAGGACAGTCCTATATCTCCCGATCTACTGGGCCGATTGACAAAATTCAAATTGCGTTCTTCATGTCTCGAAAGCGCGACTTAGGATATATATTAGATTTATATATAGCACTATTCTAACATAGGTATTTTGACACAAAATCGGACTTTTTCTGAAATAACATACCAATTTTTTTACATATTTCGATTCTACGACTCAAATTACGCCTAAATATGAAATTTGTAAAATTTGGGAGCGAAATTTTACGGAGAAATTCACAAATTTATGTTGGCACTTTTTTGTCAGTTTGCGCCAAGAATACTTCACTTGGCGAACTTCTTAATATATGGCAACCTAGTTTCCTTTCCCTGTGAGAGGAAAAAAGTCACCATCGTTCCTTTTTTCCAAATAATATTCTTTATATTATATTTTTAATTATAACTTATTATTTTAAGTAATTTTTTTCTTTTCGAATTTCATTTTAATTGTTTAAGTTGCACGCTTTTTTTTTTTTTTTTTTCGAATAACTGTTTTAAAAAATTTCTATTTACCTATTCGAACTGCGTAAATAAAGGTGCAGCGTTTATTTATTTTTTTTTTTTTTTCAAATAGTTTTTCTTTATATATATTTTTTTTCGTATAGGTTATTTTTTAAATTTTTATACTTTTATTTTAATTTTTTGTGTTGCATTGTCTCTTCAGATAATTGTTTTAAAATTTTCTATTTATTCCTTCGAACTGAGCATTTTAAATATATTTATTAATATCAATTTTCCAGAATTTGATTTTATTTTATTTATTTGAACTGAACTGCGTTTCTTTCGGAAGAATACTTTGTAACCCAGACTACGATGAGTTTGAAAACTGCATACTGTATTAAAAGAGAAAATACAGTAAAGCACAGTTTTACACGCCTTTCAATGTTCCGTTCAGAAAAGATATATATAAATAAGAAAGATGTATAACCGACATTTTAACTTAGGATGACTTGCATACACTGCTTTAAACAGTTTTATCATTGTGCCCATTGCTTTACACAATTTTATCCTACATTTGGTTTCTTAAAATGTTATTCATATTTTAGTCAAATATTTTATTTTTGAAATCGCAAGAATCCAATATCATAACATTGAAAAGTTTTAAATTAAAAAAAATACAAATACTAAATTTTACGAAAAAATTTATTTTTCTTTTTCTTTCTTCTCTTTTTCTTTAAGCATTCTGAAAGTATATTAAAAAGTATCCAACTTTTCGAAACATTTTGGTATTTCTGACAATCATTTTAAATAAAGTTATCGCCTTCCATTTCATAAAGGCCCACAAAACGGCCGAGCGGTAAAGACGCT